GTTTGAAGTGTACTAATAACTGTGACGAAATCCGACCCGGTTATTAAGTAATTAGCATCATCCGCATAGTACACCTGCAGTGCTTTACAGCCTGTTTCTATATATCGTGCCAGATCATTCGTGAATAAAATAAAAAGAGTAGGTCCCAAAATGGACCCTTGCGGGACACCGATATTGACCGTTCTTGAGTCAGCTACAGATGAATTATCATATAATACCTTGTGTGTCCGATTGGAAAGGTAAGAGGTAAACCATTGAAGGACCACGCCATGGAAACCGAGCCTTTTCAGTTTCTGGAGTAAAATTTGATGCGACATAGTGTCAAATGCCTTTGAGTAGTCAATGAATAGACCTAGGGTAACCAATTTGTTATCCATGGACAAGTGGATGGTGTCAATAAATTTACTTAGGGCTGTGTCCACACCTAAATTTTTCCTAAAACCATGGTGCTGTAGGTTAAGCAGGTTATGTTTTTCGAAGTAACGTAATATCTTATCATTTACAATAATTTCAAATACTTTCCCTATGCTTGATAATAAACTAATAGGTCTGTAGTTTTCTGCTAAGTTAGGATCTCCTTTTTTAAATAATGGTAAAACTAGAGCTGTCTTGAGGGCTTCAGGGTATTCGCCCCTTTCAAAAGACAAGTTAATGATATGAACAAGTAGGAAAGCTACATAGTCAACGATACTTTTCAGAAAGTTATTGGAGATGCCGTCGTCGCCTGCAGAGTTGGTCTTTTTTAACTTTTCAATAGCATGATGTATATCGACAACAGTTACTGTATAAAAGAAGAACGAATTAGAGTGCAGAGGAATAACACTATAAATAAAGTCAAAGTCAATTGTATCTGTTAACGAACTCACTGCTTTAGCTGCAGCGTCAGCAAAGTAGCTATTGAATTTATCGTCGCCTGCGTTGACAGTTGCGCTGATAAAGCCTGCCGAATAGCGAAATTGGACGATATGCAAAATTTGGACACATTTTGCTGAGGGCGCTAGTTATCCTTCGTTGACAGTTGACCAATTTGAATGTACAAAAGAAATTGTTGGTTTATGATGTTCCGTGTAGGTTTAGGATTGTTGGTGAAGTTTTTCATTGATTATTATTGATTGATGAAAATGGTTTCGGTTAATCAGTTACACACCTTCTTACACCTCTCTCTTACACCTTTGTGAAACTGGGGAACTGCATGGCTTTTTAGCCTGCATCTACCCACAGAATCGTAGAAAAAATTTTTTTTATTAAAATGAAGAATACAGACTTTTGGCCTCTCCGAAGGAGGTTCAAAGTTTTCTTAAATGAAATTAACGTTCATTATTACGTTATATCAAGAATTTTATTTGTTTTTTAATAGTTAAAGGATGCAAACCTTTCAAATTTTCCTCAAGAGTGATACTTTTTATCCACGCAGAAAACCTCTGCTTCTGCGTTGGAAACTAGTGGTAGGTAACATTTGAATCACTGTTTGAACAGGATGGTATACAACAATGCATTTTTAATCGTATTTTATTAGTTCAAAATTACGAAAATTACATATACAAACAAATGTGTCAAATTCAAATTTGAACTGTCATTCAAGGATAACTAGCGCCCTCAGAAGGAAAATGGCGTCGAAAGTAACTACTGGATTATCTGTCAAAGGTGGCTATTCGGCAGGCTTTATCAGCGCAACTGTCAACGCAGGCGACGGAATTTATATATGCACTTTCAGCCGAACTTAGAGCTACACCGTTATCCAGTAACTGAGAGGGACCCCGGTCAGACTTATTTGTACAGTTTTTTATTATGCGCCATATTTCTTTGTTTTTGTTGTTGGCTTTTTTAACACGTTCACCATTGATAGCCTGTTTTACCCCACTAAGTTTATTTTGATATTTACTATTTATAAGAGAAAAGATACCCTTGAACACATCGTATTTTTTAGCTAATTCACCAAGAACCGAGACTTGCTCCCGTAAGTCTCTTAATACTAGAGATGAGCGATATTTCACTACCGGTGATTATTTCACCTTGATCTGTTTGTCACTGTTGGTAACCGTGACTGGTATCGGCAAGTAACGGCGACCGTGATTTTCCCTTTTAAAATTGATTCCGGTAATACGAAACAGTGAATGGTAAATTTTGCTATTATTTTCTTTTCATACAGTTTGCTATAAAATCTGAGGCGACATCTAGTTATTTGGAGGTAGTTTTTCTTTAATTAATTATGCATTTTATGCATAATGTTTTTATGTGCCAATGAATTTACATTTACTATATGATTTGTTGTTATTTATTTGTTCCCAAGAATTACTGTTTATTCATTCATCGATATATCGGAATTTTCTGCTGTTCACATGGCACACCGTTTCACCGTTCCCCCGCGAAAAAATATTGAAACCGTTCCTACGATCACCGTTCCTGCGATCACCGTTCCTCCGCGAGAGAATATTGAAACCGTTCCTGTGATCACCGTCCAAGTCACGGTGACAAGAAAGAACCGTGAAAAGTCGCGGTTCACGCCGGCGCCGTGATCCTAATATTAAATCGCTACTTTCGTCGTTCGCCGTTCCTTGATCACCATGACAAAATCACCGTTTAAAATCACCGTGATTCAAAAGGAGCGGTCGCCGTGATCACCGTGATCGCAAAATCACGGTATCGCTCATCTCTACTTAATACCGGTGGTACATGAGTAAAGTCACCTTTAGTTTTATAAGTAGACCATACTTTGTTAAATGGGAAAGGTTCCTGAAATAGAGTATTTAACGTAGTGCTAAAAATATTATAAGCAGCATTGACATATCTTCACTATTCCTCTTGTTATTATAGACAGTGCCAGAATATTCAAATCGAGGACTTTCTTCATATTTTCGGTCGAAGTGTCGAGAAGGCCACCCATTGAGGTGGTTCCAGCATTGTTAATAAGAATGGGAAAAGACCTGCGTTATCTTCAAGCCATTTCAGAACACTTAAAATCGTCTTCTTCACTTAAGTCTGCTTTAATAGCGTAGAGTTTTTGCTTCTTTGTTAAATTTTTGGCGCGTTTTTCGATTAATTCGGTTCGGCAAGCAATTGCTACTACCTGAAATAGAATTGGTTATGGGAACTAGTGTTTGAAGTAGTTTGTAATTACAATCACTCCTTTTTCTAGCAGAGCCTCTACTATTGAAGCACCAATTCGAGCATTAGCACCCGTTGCTACTGCTACTTTATCCATCCATTCAGCCATTGAGTGAACCATTTTACAAGGTTTTTCGTGAACGTGACGCCTTTATAGTGTTCAACAATTTTATTTAATATTGCTATCATGACACTGATTAACACTAAAGGTGATTGTGTTTACATATTGCTATTGAATTGTCAGATTTCAATTTTATTGTATTGGGTCTATTTAGACCACCTCATGTAGACTATGTTAACTTGAACATCTTTTTTGAGACACTTGATCTTATATTGAGCCATTATTCTCAGGTAAGAAATAAATCTCGAATTGTACTGGGAGATTTTAACATACACTTTGAAAAAGACGAGGACAGAAGCCTTAAATACCTGCTGGATATCTTGAACAGTTATATTATAACATGGCTTATTTAATTAAACAACCTACTAGAATTACTTCTTGTCTCGATAACATTTTAGTAAGTAACGATCATATAAACAAATGTTTTACTCATGTTTTTGAGGAGTATATCTCAGATCAATCTGGTCAGCTTCTGAGGATAAACTGTGAGCAGCATACACCGCATCTTTTCGTCTGTTAACATTAAGTTTATTAAATTTTTATCAGGACAAACCTGGGAAAGGGTCTATACCTCAAGATGGTGAAGACCCATAAAATCAACGGACATAAGTAGTACCTATAAGCTTGTAATTAGGGCAATTACAGTTCATCTGCCACTGACTGTTACTCTAATAATATTACCATCGAGGTCTAGGTACATGAAATAAAAAAAATATGTGACACCACTTTTTTTTCTCAAGTTCGTCATATAATTAACATTAACCTGTCCATTTGAGAATAACTCTCTCAAAAACTTAAAAGTAGTTACTTTCAAGGGGTTGTCCGTTTGAGAGGATATTTCGGGAACATTCATTTTGTGGTTGCTTTCAAAAAGCTAGCTGACGAAAGGTCATTACCAGACAGTGGTATCAGAACCGTGTCCAGTACCATCCTTTCGATATGACCAACTCACTGAAATCTTTTTTATCGTATTCTACATATCAACAATTTTGCTTTCTTGATATATCTCATAAATTTCGTGGTTTGTTCTTCTGATATAGCCTTCTTCGGTTTGTTCCCATTACTATTCTCCTAATCATCTTCTAGTCTTCTTGTTCATTGTCCATGTTTCACAGCCGTATAGCTCCTTGGGCAGTAAGAATGTTTAATGCGTATAATCTTAACCTGGTATTTCCCGACAGGTCCTTTGCTCTTATTAAGTGGTTTATTCACCCTAACTCTACGCATTTGAAAGCTTTTAGCATTTTTGCCTCTATCTTTTCTTTCCATTTATAAATTCAGTTAATTCTGCAAATTCCATTTTCCCCTTTTCTGACTTCAAATTTAACATCTCCTTGTTGTATTACATTAACTCTTCTTCTGATTTATTACAAGACCTACATTTCTTCTTGCTTCTATCAACTTTGTTGTATTGTTTTTGACTTCCTTCATATTCCTGATGATTTTTGTACGATATGTAATTTTCTCTAGTGTAAAATACAAGAATCGATGCAGGACCGCCTTAAACATACCCTGCCCCGGGCTGCGAACATCAGCCCTGGCTGCGAACATCAGCCCTGCGCCCCCCTGTCAAAAATTCAAACAACTTTATTTCTTACAAAGTCTAGAGCCACACACTAGAATTTAACGTTACGGGTGGTGAATCTAGAAGCCGTTAACCGTTAGAATTCGCTTAAATATTTTATTTACATAAATTAAAAATCAAAAGCGTAATTATGATTGATTTATTTATTAGGTATACAAAGGACATGGCTAGGAAGTTCAAACGACGACAGTCATACGTAGATACAGTGTTATTACAATTACACAATTTACAGAGGTACATCTAGATAATAAGAAATGAAAAATATAATAAAATATTTTAAACTTAACACAAAGTTATAAATTATTCTATACAAAATATCAATGAATTCAGAAAAAGAAGCTCTATTCAAAAATGCATTCATTATATGGTGTGAAGGTGATCTCATAGCCTAGGCCGCCCAGACGTGTTTCTTTTCAGCGGCATTAGTCGGCCCAGGACTGGGCACTGAGGCTTCCACCCTCATGCGATATCTGTGAAATTCCGGACCGTCACCTGAAGCATCTATGATTAAGTAATGCAAATTTCTGCAAAATATATACTCGTAATGGGACTGTAACCCTTGTGAAAATTGAAATTGAATTTCACGTTGAACTACACTGTGATCGCAAGAGATATCTGATCGTCCCATGCGAGGAAATAATAAGTTGCAGCATGATGAAGGCGATGGTTACTTTACAGTTACAAGAGGATTATATGTAGGAAAAATGTATTTTAAAGTTTCATGGTGAAGAACAAGCCGAAGTCTTTAAGTCCCTATTGCCACCTATTAAAAGATCCGAGGACCATAGTTCGACTGAAAATTCAGATACCAACTGATGATTCCGGCAACCAAAGAAACTGAAGCATTTAAGAAAACTCATTTAACTCAGATAATCCATCGTATGAATTAGAACAGTTAGAAAATTTGTTAATTTAATTTGCGTTAATAAAGTCTTATTTTTTTGCAATGATATCTGGATGATGATGATTGAAGTTATGGCGCAAAAAAATTATTCCCCTCTTTCGTCGGCAAAAAAAAGGACACGGTTGTTGCGCTCCAGGTCTAGGGCTTCCCAACGGGTGTCCCGTGGGCGTACATAGCACGCCTGGACCGTGTCCCGATTCAAGTAGGGTGGTGTCGGTGCAAGTGGCTGCACGAGAGGCGGACGCTTGGGCGGTGGCGGTTGAAATTCGTGAATCGGAGACGGCGCGATTGGTCTCGTAGCTGTCGGTTGGGGCGACAGTCAAAGACGGGGCGGGTTCCTGTACTATATATATACATCTACGTACTTGGCTCGTCGATTCGGCTGTTGAGGACCTCACCAGAGGCGGGACGAACAAGTTACAATGGGGCGTAGCGCTGGTGGAGGCTGGCCATGGGAACGGCGCTGGCATCACCGGACGCGAAATTACGGGCGTGGGATGACAGGCCTGGTTAGCGAAAAGTTCCAGGTCACCAAAATCGCTGCAGCCGACTTCGCCACCACGTACCCAAACGTCGGCGTCGATATGGAGGCGGTAGAGGTCGATACGACGACGGTGTCTACGATCTCATTGATGACGGTCGGGAGAGACGTGACCAACTCCTCCAGGTCCATCTCCATATCGGCTGCGACGATTGTGCCACGAAACTCCCGGTGACGGTCTGGAATTTCGCCGATATCGTATGGGGGTGGTGTGCCAAGCCGCTGAGAAAGTAACAGGTGGGAGGCGCCTTCAGTCAGGAGCGGTGGTACTCGGGCACCGGGATGGCTCTAAAGCCGGAGTCACAGTTCTCCTAGTGGTCTGGTGAGCGCCCGCGGAAACAAGAAGTAAAACGGAGGAATTTTACTAACAACAATCGGGATTTTATTCCTTGCCACCAGCTACACGGCTAAAATAATCTTACGTTAATCTTAAAAAAAAATACGGTTTTACCAAAACAAGAAAAAAAGGAACAAAATGTCCGGCACGGTCATTCCCTCCTGGACGTCAACTTCCTTCGAGACGGGCTCCTCCTGGCGCTAGGGGCGGCGACCCTAGAACGGGAAATCGCGCCGGGTTGGTATGGCGACCCGGGAGGGGAGCGCGGCGGCGGAAAACGCAATGTGCTCAACGGCGGCGGCGATTAAAAAAATGGTCTGCAAATAGGCAGGAAAACCCAAATAGCTATTGTGGCGATTTTGACGTTCTCCGGCCTTTTTTGTTGGGGGGTCCTTTCGGCGCCAGCTGGGTAGTTAACCCAACAAGGAAGGGGAATTGACGAACGGACTACAGACTTATTTTACGATCTTACATGCTACTTTCCGCAAATTTACATAAGCTCTTTCCTGGTGAAGTACTTCGGAGCGATCCTCTTTTGTTCAAAGCTCCCCTAGGAGATGTTACCATAGTATGGGACAGCAACGATGGAGACGGCAACCAACCACGAATCGATGGGTATGGGACAGTGAAGACGGAGACGGCAACCAATCACGAATCGACGCCACCCGTACATAGAACCTAGTTCCTCCTGTTATTTAAATATTCTAGGCCAAATAGGCACTCACCTAGCTGTTATTGGTTCCTTATTTTGCCAAAATCTCGCTTTTCACCGCATTTCAATTCGCTCAAAAAACGCTCTTCACCTCCTCTTTTTCTCGCCGCCCGTAAAAACCGACTCCACTCTTCCGATACCTTGCTCACCGAGCGCGCTTAGATTTAAAAATCGTTACACTATTTAACCAAAAAGTTTGTTAATAAAGGCGATTAATAATCGAAATATTTTAGCGAGCTCGTTCCTTGCGCGTTAATATTTGAGATTATTAATCGCCAATTAACAGTCGAGTTAGTTTACAATACTTTTCCGGTAATCGCAATTTTATTAAATTACTGAAAATTCAAAATATGAGTTATGCAACCAAACACATAAGTGAACATGTTTTTTAATACAGTAAACTTATTTGATGTACACCTTTTAAAACTTTTATGACTTAAGCGGCTTAAGCTAAAGCACCCTTATAAGTCAAACTGGCTGTTGTATAACTTACTCACTTCACAGCTCCATTATGGCAACAATGGATAATCCTTGCGGTTCGGGACCATAAAGCTTACAATAGCCAGTTTGACTCATAAGGGTGGTTTGGCTTAAGCCGCTCAAGTCATAAAAATTTTACAAGGTGTATGTCAAGTGAGTTTACTGTAAATATTACTCCTATTAGTTTATTACACGGTGGTAGAAGTAAGGTGTGGAAACAAGCCGCTCCAATTTATTGAATAAAACACGCATCCCAGTAGGCTTATTTACTACGAAATAGTATGCAGCACAGTATGTCCATCTATGTATTAACATTTCAACTTGTCAGTGTATTTATGAATGAATTAAGTGACAGATTCGTTGGAGGGAAAATAAATCACAGCACTACGGTTTGTGGTTGGTCTTTGGTGTGAATCGTGTGATTGGTGGATGATTCGACATTTGGGATTGGGTAATAAATGACATTGGCATAAATGTCAAAGATTTAATGCAGTTTTCTATTACTTAATTTCAACTGATCTCTCTAGACGTCGCTGTGGTGTGGACAGCTAATGACATATAGTCCAAACCACGCGATTTGTGTTTTCTACCAATGATTTTGAGGAAAGTTATGAATGAGGTTTCCACACCTTACTTCTACCACCGTGGTTTATTAAATTTGGATATCTCCAAATCATGATGAATGCTTAAAGTGGACGGAAGCATAGAATACTTTGGCCACAAGCTTGCTTTTTGGGAAATTTCGGAGAAGGATGCAAAAATACAACTTACCACCTGCTTTCCGGCGCGCCATACAACAAACTCATCATAGGTTTTTGGTAAAGCCCATTGCCTTATCCGGGAAGTAAATTTAGTGAAGGAGGCGTTAAAGAATCCATTTCTATACAATTAATTGTCCATTTTGAATTGATTCAGTAAATTTTTGACATTTAGAAATATAATATTTCAGATAGGGAGGGGTATATCTGGTTGCCTAAAAGCATGCATTAATAAACGATTACCGGAAAACGGTATTTACGCTGCGGTGGTCGGTTTTCACTTCCAAAAAGACATTTCCGCTTCCACCGCCACAGCACGGGGCAGAACACTTCCAAGCTAAGTGAAGGTTCGAAAAAGAATTCCCGTTTTCTGGCCACGTTGGCGGGACAATCGCGGATTTACCCCTGGTTCTCGGTACTTGTCGCAGTTTCCGGTCCGCGAAAATTCGCTTCGTTGCAACTTGTAGAACCGTTTCACCCCAAATGGGCAATTATGGGAGATCCAAATCTCTCTTATGTATTTGCGTTGATGTTATTAACAAACGAACGCTCATAAGTTTAGACCAAGGTGCTGGTATAAATGTTATTTCTTTAAATATGGTTCCATTTGTCAAAATTTCACCCTTTTTATTTTAAATACACCAGGAAACCATCTAATCCCAATATTAGGTATGGCTAATATACAAAATAATATAATTAGGACAAATGCAAACTAAGTGCAGGGCCGTTGTTGTCAAAAAATTTGATTACCCTCTTATGTGCAAAGCAATTCTTTAGATACCTGAAAAATAATGTAGTTACATTTGAGCGGAATTCACTCACAACTCATACACATTGCTAATTTTCAGTCGGAACAAATTAAGTCAAGAAATAGCAATTCAAATACATATATTAAATACTCCATCATTGCATGTTAAGAGCAATTATTATTAACGACACATTGAAATTTATTGGACACTTAAATAGCGGTAGTCAAACTGTCACAGTGAGCACAAAATACAACACCAGTTGCATTACTCCGATTCTGCAGTGATGTTTGACAACAAGCATTTTCACCAAACGGTCAAAATTAGCGAAAAGTGTCAAGACATTTTTTATTACTAAATACATATTCTCTGGCACTCTGAGTCGCCGAGGATGTAAGAATGAGTCGGGGCATAGCTCAATGTTTTTGCCATAAATTTGGTAAAATTTCATTTTTACATAATCAAAATAAAACTGTTGATGACGTCGCGATTATTAAAGACAAATCATCTCCTTTCTTATACTATTTGATTACAAAAGAATTGTCTCACCAAAAGGCTACATATAAAACCTTTTTCTGGCATCCAAAAATTAAAAAACCGCGTTGTTAAAAATGGAGATAAAGATTTGGTAAAAAGTTTAAGTTAAATATATATACAGCGTGTTATTGAAAGGTACGTACAAAATAAAATCGGGAATTGGTCTCGAAGTATGGGTGCTAAAAGTTAAAAAAAGTTCAAGTAAAAGTGTTCTCCTTTTCGAGATAAAAATTATTAAAATTTATGTCCAAATTCGTTGTACGCCTCTGGTCAAAAAAATCATCTCTCGTTTCTATTGCAACATTTAGTCTTGACAAAAGTTTTATTGTTACAGTTGCTAGGATTTACTAAATTAAATTAATTTTACTTATTTATCGTTCAGTAGCGTCTAAAAAGGTTGGATAAAGGTTAATTTTCCCCTTATAATTTTGATAACACAACATAAGTTTTTCAGACTTCTTAGACTTCGCGAAGGACTGTCAATTTTGTTGTACGTACCTTTCAATAACAACCTGTATGTATATATGATCCAATTTCGGTTTCAAGGTATAGATATAGAAATTACAGTGTGCTGCCTTGACCATACACGGCCTTGCCTTCTTGAAAATGTTGTTTTATAATTTAGGGGGTCATCAGTGGTCGAGAAAACGTAAAAATAGAAAGTCAGTTGATGGACTCGATTGCAATACTTTCTTGGCTTACGCTCGAGAAGTAAAAATTCGTCAGATCTTCCAAATTCTAAATGAAAAATTCTTGTTTACACAAAATACTATATAGGCTGTTATCTCGAGTTTACAGAACCTGATAACCTATACATTTTTAAAACACAGTTATCAACGTTGAGTAGTAAAACGACAAATCTCGTCAGTACATGACAGACAAACTGCGACAATGGTAATTTCTATGGATAGATGTCATAGATGGGTAGGCAAAGTAGCCATTGTAACCGGAGCTAGTGCTGGAATCGGTGCTGCCATCGCTGACCAACTTGTTGAAAACGGCCTAATTGTAAGTGATAAATCTGAAAGACTTTTTTGAATTTAAACGCACTTTTCACAGGTTGTTGGACTTGCACGTCGCCCAGAATTAATCGAAGAGCATGCTAAGACTCTCAGCAACAAAAAAGGGAAACTCTACGCAATTAAAACAGATTTAAGAAAAGAGGAAGACATTCAGGGTGCTTTCAAATGGGTTGACGATAATTTAGGACCAGTACACATTCTTATCAACAATGCGGGAACGGGTACTGGAGGTGGACTGACAAATACCAGCACTGAAGACTGGAGGAAAGTTTTCGATCTGAATGTTTTGGGTTTGTGTATAGCTACAAGAGAAGCAATAAGTTCAATGAAGAAACACAAGATTGATGATGGTCATATTATTCATATCAATAGTGCGGCAGGTCATCGAGTTTTTTCTCCTCAGTTCAATGTCTACCCGGCTTCTAAATTTGCTGTTACTGCTTTAACTGAAACGTTGAGGCAGGAGTTGAACAGTCTTGGTACTAAAATCAGAGTTACGGTGAGTGGAAGTAGTGTTAAATAAATACATTATATTATAATAATTCTTATAAAAATATGACTATAGACTGTATCTTGTTGTAGAGTATTAGTCCTGGGCTGGTAGCCACAGAGTTAACCACATTAGGTACAAAGTTACCATCAGACGTTAGAGAAGAATTTCATAAACGACCTATTTTGCAAGCTGAAGATATCGCTGATGGCGTTGTCTACGTTCTGTCAACGCCAGGACATGTTCAAGTGAGTTTAGAATGTGGAGTGTTAACTATTAATTAATATAAATTATTTTTATGCTAGGTTCATGAACTAACGATAAGGCCGTTTTAGGAACAGAGAAATTTCAAAATGATGTTAAATATAGCCAACATCATTATAAACATTGACAATTGATAAGCTTATAGAATAAAACAAAAACCCGTAAAGTTAATTACAATTTATTGGCATTCAACCAAATTCCACTTTCCGCAGTCAGTACTAAAGTACTTTTTTTCATCTTCAAAGGTTCTTGTGTTCTGTTATTAATAGTAAACTTAAAATTTCTTAACAAAGAAATTAATGCCAATTTTGATTGTATCTGCCCAAAACGCATACCTAAAACCTTACCGTATAGATCTCATTTAACAACAATTTTTTTTCTTACCTATACAAATTCTAGGTCCTTCTCCAAACGGAATAAACGCATAACTTTCTCTTAAACCCTTATTTGTGTCATTAAAACGTTCAGGATCAAATTTCTCAGGCTCAGGATAAAATTCCTCATTATGGTGAATACCAAGAACCGGAATCACAACTGTAGTACCTTTCTCAATCACCACATCAGTACCAAAAACTTTGTAGTCTTTTACACACTTCCGATTTAAATATGCTGCCGGCGGGTACTTTCTTAAAGTTTCTAAAATATCTTTTTACCTTCAACTCTTCGACATGACAAACTCACCATCTAACACTTGCTCTAAATATTTCATTTCTTGGATGGCCTCATACGTAATCACGTTTTGGTACTTCTCCAAAACTTTTCCGACCTCTTCTCGAACACTCTCTTGTATATCTTCGTTTTTCGCAAGCTCGTACAGAGCAAAACTGATGGCAGTCGGTGACGTGGACATCCCTGCCAGAAAGAAAATAAAACACTGAGCTGCTATTTCTTCAATTTTCAAATAGCTTCCATCTTCGTTTCTCAGTTCGGTGAGTACTTGAAGAAAGTCGTGTCTTACAATGTGTTGCTTTTTCCTGTAATCGATTGCCTCTTCAACTATCTTCAGAAAGAACGTAGATGCGTCTTTTGGTATCAAAGCAATGTTTAAAATTCTTCCAAGTTTTGGAAAATTGTCAACTATGAAACCCTTCACTCTTCTGGTACGTGATCGCCTGAAAATTTTTCTCCCGAATTGTTGTATGGGTGATTGCTCGGAAAAATTTTGCCAGTCTAGACCAAAAACGCAGGACTCGATAACATCACCAATGAAACTATCCGCAATTGTTTTAGCTTCAAAGGGTATTTTTCTGTTTATTTCAGTTTCAATCTTTTTGATCAGAATTTCTTTACAGCTTAGAAGAAGCGGAAATATTGATTTTAGTTTGCCGGGAGTGAAGATCTGACTGAGGTTTGTTCTCATACGACGCCATTTTGGGCCACTGGTGTTGAAAATGTGGCAACTCAGAGGATCGTCTTTTTCGTTGTAGTACAGTCCACGGTGTGGAAAGTATTGGAAATCTTTAGTCATGATGTTTTTGAGTAGATGTAGATCCCTGACAACGTAAATTGGTGTCACTTGGATAAAAACTCCTCCATGTTTCCATTGGTTTTGTTTCATTAGATTATAGACATGTTTGAATTTGATGCCAAGGTGTTCGTTCAAACTAGAAAAATCTGTTTGCAGGCAGGGTACATTTCTTCGGTTCCAATGTAGATAAAACCAGTTGTATACACTGACAATTATAACTGATAGAGTTATAACTATGATGATGAAATCACCGGTAGGTGAGTCCGCAAAAAACATTTTTAGCACTTTATAAGCACACAGGAACCTTCTGGAGAATTTAATATGTGATATGTTTGAAACTGTACTTTTATCTGAATTATCGTAATTAATTTAACTGCTTTAATGCTTGTCGTAAATCGCGCTTGAGTAAAGAATGAACATCTGTTTACTATTGCGTGGACAAGGTCAAAGTTATTTATTTTCAGATCTGTCTCGGTTGTAATGTAGGGGAGAGTAGTATCTTGTGGTGTTTCACATTGTCAAAACAATATTTTATCAAAAAAAAAAAAATATATATATATATATATATATACATAAGTTTTGTATTAAGTGGCACCCTGTAGGATGAATGTAATTGTGACGCCCGGTGTATATACCGATTTGATAAATAATGTAAAAGCGGCACAATCAAAATCAACAGTAATAAGGCACCCATCTGTATGTAAATTGAGACAATCAATGCTTTTGTGGCACCTTGCGTTGTTGCCACTTTTTTGTGTTCTTTCAAACAAACATACCTATTACAACACCTTAGGTGCTTCGTACCCACTTATCGTAAATTTAGTATATTTTGGCACCATAAGTTAAGAGGGAATTTGCACGAATATTGTTATTATTAGTATTAAAAAGTAAAATTCCGTAAGAGACTATTGTTGACAATTGTCGAATGCTGGCATAAAAATTTGATAAGCAAATCCTAATCATTGTGAAGTTTTCTACCTGGGATGAGTTTTTACCTGTTTAGATTAGTGCCTAATCGATTCATCCGCACTCGTGCTAGCGTGTTAAGCAGTTCACTTAAATTTATGTTCCCAGGTGTTGTTTGCGATTTAAAAACATAAATTTAAAAATCACCCCTTTTCTGAATTGTGCATGTTACGCTACTGACTGACAGTCTGTTGTTAGATTCTGATGACTCACCATATTGAACTTAAAATAATCCATCTCTAACAACACTTGTCCTCCAACACTAGGTAATAGCAATCTGATGCTCAAGTGTTTATAATATGCTTATACATCGAAAGAATGTCACATAGAAATTAGTTTGATTTGAATGAGTTTATTTTCTTAAAACAAAGGCTAAAATTATTATTTAAAACACAATCGAACAAAATGCTCTGATTGTATAATATAATTCTTATTTTAACATTATTATTATTATAAAGACGTGTTTTTCAAATTTTCCAGAAAATGGGATGACTGGTTCTTAATTTGAGCAATAAAAATTTTTAATGAAATCATCAACATGGATAATACTAGTCACAGCACAAAAAAAAGTAGTCACAGCGTATTTACCAGTGCAAGAAAAAACAACGAGACATATATCAATTTGGATCGGTGCAATGTAATACTAAAAAAAAAAACAGTATTGAATTACCAAAATTTTCTGAGAAAATGGAGTGAGCCGTTCCTGATGCAATTAATAAAATAAGTTGACTCATTCATTAATTCTTTTGACCCACCTCTTTAAGTAAAATTAAAATATATGAATACAATGATAAATCACAAGTAAAAACTCATCATATTTTGCACATTTTAGGTAGAATTTATTCGACAAAATTTTGAGATGATATCATCAATTTTTTGAGAGAAATAAACAGATATATTTTGATTAACAATGTATCATTACTTACAATAAATTTAAAACGTCTCATTCAGTTCAGTATTCAGTTTTACAATTCTCGAATTAATCAATAAGAAAATTGACTCAGTCATTAATTTTCTTGAGACACCCCTTATAAGCAAATCTAAAAAATATTCATGCAATGATAAATCACAAGTATAGACTTATCATATTTTGCATATGTAAGACAGAATTTATTCAACAATATTTTGAGGTGACGATATACATTTTTTAGGGGGATGAGCAAATACATTTTGATAAAAAAATTACCATGCTGTTGATCATTCATTGATTTTTTTGAGTTAGCCTGTATAAGTAAATTCAAAAAATATGAATGAAACGATAAATCACAAGTATATGTAGACTCATCATATTTGGACATTTTAGATAGAATTTATTCGGAAAAATTTTGAGCCGACGTCAGGAATTTTTTGGGGGGATAAGCAAGTGTATTTTGATTAAAAATGTAGTATGCTTATCATAACTTTAAAACAGCTGCAAGATTTCAAAGCATTCGGTTTTGCAAATTCAAAATTAAATTCCAAAATGTTGTTTTATAATTCTGACGGACGTTTCGGGTAAAAACTCAGCACGGCTTCATAAACCATTTTGTTATTTAATACAATTTAAAACCCATTTGCTATGTACAATTTGGAAGTGATATCATCACATAATTAGTGGGGATGATTAGATAAATTTTGGTTAACGCTTTACCATCCACATGATCTTCCTAATGTAAATACAAAATTTGACAACAATCGGCCCAGTACTTTCGGAGATGATCTGTCTAATAAAAATCGGGACAGCAGACAGACATACTCCTGCATGTATAATTGAAGAATCCGTGTTGACTTTTTACGCTAGAGATCCAGATTTTTTGGGAAAAAATTAAAAATTGTATTTTACAATTTAACTTTGAAATTGCAAAACCGAATCCTCTGAAGATAAATGATTACTCAAAATTTACGTATTTACGACCTCTCCGAAAATCATGATGCTATATCATACAATTCTGCCGAATAAATGTTTTAAAATTATATAAAATGACATGCACCTGCATGTGTCATTTATGAATCCGTGTTTTTACCCTTGATTTACCCAGATTTTTGAAAAAAACTCAAAATTATGTAAAAATATTTTACAAATTAAATTGTAAAACCTGAATGCTGTGAAATCTTGCAAATATCTTAAGTTTATTGAAAGCATGTTAATCGTCAATAAAACTTTGTCCATCATATTATAGTCTTGCAGGATAAATGTTCTTCAAATTTATAAGTGTTTTTGGGAAAAAACTGAATGTGATTAATTTATTAATCAGTCCTCTCTTCTGCTTTGAGGTGAAAAAAATCAGTTTAATTTTCTTTTAACAGCTGACGCTTGTAATCTAAACTTTTTAGTCGTCTAATTACATAAGCAGTGGAGAGTAAGCATGTACTGAGAAATTGAGAATATCTACATTTTTTCCTGTTGATTATCTGCGATGCAGGGACTGCGGAATGTTAATTACGCCACTGGTTTTTACTTTATAGAGGTTATCACGAAACCAGTGATTGGAACAATTACTTTTAAAAAGTAATGCATTACTTTAACAATTACTTTTTGCACTTTGAAAATTTTGATCGACACTATTTTAGATGTTTGTTGTATGGTTCCAAAGGGTCAAGAAAAAACGTGTTAGGATGAAAAAGGGAGTGAATGATTTATTTTACTAACGCATTTGTTGCAGTAAATAAAATAAAACAAATAACTACTTCATGTAAGAAGACTATATTCATAATTTAAATTCAATAATAACTGATATTCAAAATTTCCGTCATCTAAGGCATGACGTTTTGTCTTAAAAACACACTGCACCAACACTAAACATCCTTTCCACTGCGGCGCTAGATGGAACTGTTGTGGGGCAACATGTTACATATTTTACTAAAAAATTGAAGAGCCAATTTTTTTGCGCCTAATTTCATTCCACTCTAGCTACCAATAAAAGTTCGATGCCAACTGTAACAACTTTTAAACAAAAATTTGCATTGGTGGGAGATTTCAAAATATCTTATTGGCTTGTAAATGTATCGTAAATATTAGTCCACCAATCTTTAACAAAAAGGATGTTCCCAAGTACTTAGAAGGGGGCTACAAGATAATGTAAACTTAAAAGTATGTCTTTAATTGCCTCTTGGAGTTGTGACTTACAGATAAAATTTAGAAAACCTTAGAGGGTGGACACCCTCATAAAATATTATGGTCGGACTATGAAGGGTTTAAAAGGAGGGGCTCTATCGGTTACTTCTTATAGATTTGAGTGGACCAGAAAAATTGCCTAAAGTTTGTTTGACCACAATTTTTAAATATTCTGCCCCTGTTTACTTTTGTTTATTAAGATATTTTATTTCTGTAAAGCGCAATGGATTTTTTAATACAATTTCTACTAATGTACTTTTTTGAAAATTTAAAATTGATCCATAAATAGCGAAAACCAGATAATCTCATATTCCCCACAATTTGAATGCGTTGTAGTTTTTTTTTTACTACAAAATTTAAAAAACGGAAAGTACTCTGGGTAGGGTTTTTTACGCACATTTCAACGGTGTTAAGTTTATTACAATCGGACGTATACTTTTGGCAAAAACTTGGGCAGATCTTTATATGAATTTCCTTATGCTGCAGTATGTTTTAGCTCACCCTTAAAATGATGAAGAGCTTATGTATATTATGGCTAAACTCCTTTTAGATTTTAACTCCCTACTGGGTTAATCTTCTGTTTGTGGGGACGAACTAGGTATAATAAACCCAGCAGGTTAAGTAAATGATTCGCAGAGAAAAACAAAACAATATTTTTGAGTATTTGGGTAAGTATTTGGGTAATTGTAGAAGTGACTGAATTACTCAAAAAAAAGTAATTCGGTACAATTACTCGTTACATTTTTTGAAAAGTAGTGCATTACAATTACTCATTACTTATTACTTCCAACCACTGCACGAAACTAACGTCGCAACATCAATTTTATAATTTTTTAATGGAGCGGGAGTTGTCGGACTATACTTCAACGACCAGGAAAGTTCTGTCGAAATAACCTTCAACCATTTTTTTTTACTGTATCAAAAACGATATATTCAATTTTTGTGAAATTCTTAAAATAATGTCATTTTTCACCACCTCACAGATACATACATACAAAAATTGTGAAGTTTTGTATAAATAATTTTAGATAGGAGTAATTTTTCTAGCATATTGTCACCCAAAAACCTAAGCTCCGGTCCAGGTCATGTGGTCACTAACTGCCCATTCACAATGGACATAAGGCATAACAAGTACATAAAGCTTACATAAATACGTAAAGTTGAAACGATGGAAAACGTGTACCCCTGTTCACAGTGGACGAACGTAATTCTTATGCTTATGAACGTTCAACTTTGTGCACGAATTATGTCAAAATTATGTTAAAATCTAGGGACTTTTGAATGCTGCTATTGAATTCCCTTTGACAGTTGGTACTTGGCACTTCACACCTTTGATTATATTATATAAATTATAATCAAAGCTTCACACTGCGAGTCTGTTCTGTACTGCGAGTTGTTAAGTTCGAATATCGTATGAAATTGTAGGTTAGATATTTTTTTTGACTCAGTTTGAGGTTAGCCGTTTCTATGTTTGGCCGGGAGTTATTCCGTTCTGCGTTTGCGCAGTTTAACAATTCTTACAGAGTTCACTCTGTCCACTGTGAACGTAGATAAGCATAAGCCAGACAGACCAAAAACGTAAATTATGTTATGCGCTTGTTCTTATGTCTTATGTCCATTGTGAATGGGCAGTAATTTGAAAACCTAATAACTGCGGTCCGCGCTTTTGTTTTATTTCTTCTGTATTTTCTTCTTCGTCATTTCCATCTTTCCAGATCGATTTCAGTTTCTTCCAATACCGTATTTTTAAAATTAATAGTATTTGCTTTTTTTCCATTAATTTTTTCAAACTGTAACCACTTATTTTCTCCGCAAACTGTGCTTTATAAGTTTCCTTCGTCTCTTAATACAGATAACAATTTTTTTCTTTTCCAACTTTGTCTAAATTAAATATTATTTTAACTTTTCTCTCTGCCTTTGTAAATGTCTTGCAAAATATTTAGAAGTCATGGTACTGTAAATTTATAAAACGTAAAGTTTTTTTAATTCTGTTTTTCACTAAATCTGATTAATTGTAAGCTTGAGAAGTTACTGGCTGTATTTCAAAAATTTAGAATTTTCCACTTTATGGCATATATGTATGTCTCGTCCCCAACTCAATATTTATTTAGTTTTAGTTTAATTTGTATCGCTTGGTTCAGTACTGCGCCCGCAACCCTCGCTACACTGGTGGCCGATCTATTGCGGCCCTTTTTTGCTTTTGGTGACCGCTTGAGTAGCAACAAGTCGAGTGGACTGGACGCGCATTGTGTAGTCGTAGTCGTACCGGCAGCGACATAACCCGCCATCTTGTCGTTGATCCCGCTTTATGATTCCCGCTATTCTTATAACCCCGCTATTGTAGTACCCGCTATTCTTATAACCCCGCTATTGTAGTACCCGCTATTCTTATAACCCCGCTATTGTAGTACCCGCTATTATTATAACCCCGCTATTGTTGTACCCGCTATTGTACCCGCTATTGTACCCGCTACCGCTATAACCCGCGTCAGGGCATAACCCTATTCCGCGCACCCCCATGCCGAGTGCTTCCTCCAGAAGCACCCCAGCCATCGCCTCCAGGCCAAGATCACTCCGAACGCACAGCTCGGAAAGTCCAACTCATCTCACTCTGGTAAGCTACATATTCATTTTATGGTCCTTCGAGTTAGCCGGATTAGCGAGGGTTGTGTTAGAAGTGATTAGGTTTTTGCGCGTTGGTTTTTCTGCTAATCTGACATTGTCGGGTTTGTATTTGAATCATGGCCAATTCGGAAAAAATTAAAAAGCAGCAATTGCTCAGACAAACCCCTTACAATAGGGTAGTCGAAATGAATACCTTAGCAAAACAGGCCGAACATAACCTAGATGACCGTGATAGCTTCGCAGTAGCAATCGGTGATCTTGAAAAACTATGCGCGGATTTTTATCGTTATCACAACGCTATCATCGGCTTGATTAACGCAGAGGAATTTAATGGGGAAGATGATATTCGAAAAGTCTTCGACTCCATGGTTCTAGCTATTAAGACCATTCATTTTAAAGTTCAAAAGGCAGCCGAGACCAGTGAGCCCCCTTCGGTTGCTTCCCCCCTTAAATCTAATATCAAGTTACCCAAAGTGGAATTACCTAGCTTTTCTGGTGATATTACGACATTTGTGCCGTTCATGGACATGTTTAATAATCTCATTCATAAATCGAGCGATTTAACCGCCGTAGAAAAATTTAATTATTTGCTTTCCGCGTTGAAAGGAGAAGCTAGAGCGCTAATAGAAAATTTACCAGTCACGGATAATAATTATTTAACAGCATACTCCGAACTCCATAATCGTTACAAAAATGATAGACAAATATTGCAAGCCCATTGGATTGCGATTGTTAACGCACCCAAGATTCATTCGGAGCATCCGCAGGAATTGCGAACACTTATAGACACGTTCTCAACTCATTTGAAAGCTATTCGTAATTTTACCCTTCCTATAGATCTAGCGGATTTTTTATTATTCAATGTAATGCATCAAAAGCTAGACTCGTCATTGATAACGCGATTCGAACTTCACCACAATTCGAAAGAAATTCCCACTTATCATAAACTGTATCAGTTTTTAGAACACCAATGGAGCGCGTTAGGCAATGCCATCCCAGTTAAACCTCAACAGAAAAAGTTCGGTCCACATAAGCCTTTTACGCCACAACCGCGATTTACCACGTCTTTAGTGGCGAAGTCAGAGTCTGTAAAGTGTCCTGTTTGTACCTCGCCTCATTTAATCTACAAATGTCTGGAGTTTCTCGGGAAATCTCCCCGTGAACGCTACGCCATTTCTAAGTCGAAACACTTGTGCCTCAATTGTCTTAGTAATTGTCATGTGAGTAAGGCGTGCCAGTCTACTCACAGTTGTCGTCATTGCGGTAAGAGGCATCATAGTCTATTACATTTCGAAGCGTTTCCGAGCGGCGATGGTCAGGTGCCGAATTCTGCGGAAGCTACCTCCATCAAACCAATGAGTGGAGTTGGATTTGCATCGCCAGCAATGGGAGTTTTATTGGCTACCGCTTTAATAGAAGTTCGCGATAACGGCAGAAATTCTAAGGTTCTTAGAGCGCTGCTGGACTGTGGCTCACAAAGTTCCTTTATTTCGCAACAAGCCTTTCATTTGCTAGGTCTGTCTAGACGACATACTTCAGGTCTGGTGCAAGGTTTGGGTCAAGTAGTTACGGCAGCCAATTTAGGTTCAGTGATAATAACGTTTCGACCGGTAGGCCAGTTAACGCCCACTTTCAAGGTAAATGCGCTAATTTTACCCAAGATCTGTGATGACTTGCCCTGTGTGTCTCTTTCGGCCGAACATTGGTCTCATTTTCGTGCCAAGCTACCGCTCGCAGATCCTTCCTGTGTCTCTCGTGCAGGTATCGATATGCTTCTAGGAGCGGATGTCTATTCACAATTGCTTAGTGGAGAGGTGGTTAAGGGTCAGAAGGGAGAACCAGATGCGCTAGGGACAGCCTTGGGCTATGTATTAGTAGGGCAACATACCGCTAGTACTGCTAATACGAATCTTCATTCCTTTATTACCACGGTTAACACATGTTGCGATTTAGAAAGATCTATTCAGAAATTGTGGGAAGTGGAAGCAGTTCCTCGCTTACAGACTTTGTCTCCAGATGAGGAACTCTGCGAGGACATTTACAATAAAACTTACACTCGCACCGACAAAGGTCGGTTCGTCGTATCTCTACCGTTTCGCGATACCCCGCCCACTTTCGAAGACAGCCGGTCAATCGCAATCAATCGGTTCCTTCATCTGGAGGCCAAACTGTTAAAGCAACCGCAGTTGTATGCGCAGTATTCTAAGTTCATGCAAGAATATTTAGAGTTTAATCATATGGAACCTGTTCTTCCTCCGGATGACACCATTGCCACTTATTATATCCCACACCATTGCGTACTTAAGCCAGCCAGTTTAAGCACAAAACTGCGCGTTGTGTTCAACGCGTCCGCACGATCCTCTAATCAAACCTCCTTAAATGAGCATCTTCTTATCGGTCCCAAACTTCAAAGGGATATTTGCACTATCTTATTGAATTTTCGCCTCCATACGTACGTCTTGACTGCCGACATCAAAATGATGTACCGCCAAATCTTAATCAATCCGGTTCAGTGCAATTTTCAGAGGATTATCTGGCGTTTTACTCCTGAACAACCCATTCAGGATTATCGTTTAAAAACTTTAACGTATGGAACCTCGCCCGCTCCCTATCTGGCCATTCGTACTCTGTTAAAATTGAGCGAGCAGGATGGTTCGTCGTTTCCATTAGCCGCTGCCGCCCTCCAGACGGACACCTACATGGACGATATTGTTACTGGTAACAATTCTTATCAACAGACTTTAAAGTTGAAAGATGAACTTATTGCACTCCTTAAGGGTGGAGGATTTGAACTTCGCAAATGGGCTACCAATGATAGTTCGCTTGTCTCGGACCTTCCTCCGTCTCATGTTTGTCTTGATGCCATTAATATACGAGAGGAAGATCGTAATGACACTCTTAGAATCTTGCGATTGCAGTGGAATCCCGTATCCGACGCTTTCAAATTTACAGTTCATATTCTTCCCGGCAACTGCACTAAACGCCATCTTTTATCCAGTCTCGCACGCATTTTTGATCCTCTTGGCATATTGACTCCGCTTACTTTTTTCATAAAACATTTAATTCAACGCATCTGGACTCTCAAGTTAGCTTGGGACGACGCACCGCCGAATGATATTTTACGCGCTTGGAATATCTTCGCTAGGAATCTTTCCGTTCTAAACGATTTTTCGTTACCGCGCCGCCTCCTTTGCGATAATTTCCTCTCGTGTGAAATTCATGGTTTCGCTGACAGCTCCGAGAAGGGCTATGCCGCCGTAGTTTATTTGGTTTTTAGGTTCGCCTCGCTTGAACCACGCACGCAGTTTGTTTGTGCTAAATCTAAAGTAGCACCGCTCAAGAAGATTACGATTCCAAGGCTGGAACTTTCTGCCGCAGTATTGCTAACACGGCTCCTCAATCTGGTTTGCCGAGTGTACAAAGACAAAATTCCTTTTAATCGCCTATGTGCTTGGACAGACTCCCAGATAGTTCTAGCTTGGATCAAATCTTCGCCGCATCGTTGGAAGACATTTGTCTCCAATCGCGTATCATTTATTCAAGAGCATCTGCCCTCCTCGTCGTGGTACTATGTTCCTTCCGGTCAGAATCCAGCTGATCTTGGGTCTAGAGGGGCATACCCTCAGGAGTTACTGGTTAGTTCCCTATGGTGGGCGGGACCCCCTTTTTTGAAGTCCGGCACGCCTCTCAATAATAATCTGACGCCTTCTGTCCCTGCCTCCATTCAGGACGAAGAACGCACGCAATCGTGTAATGCGATAGTGACCACCTCTTTATTGGACGATTTAGTCAATACGCACTCATCACTGCCGAAGATTATTCGCATTCTTTGTTATGTACGCCGATTTATTCGTGGAATGACTAGACCTACAAAAAGAGCCCCCTCTGCAGTGGCGTCTCGCCCGAGTCCTACTTCTCCATCCGGGACAAGATGGCATAGTTCGGGTTGTCACCTTGAAAACCGCCGGTGGAGTCCTAAAGCGCCCAGTGGCCAAACTTTGTCCACTCCCTGCAACTTTGCAGTAAAAAAAACCCTTTTTGTTTTTTTTGGTGGGCGGAATGTCTCGTCCCCAACTCAATATTTATTTAGTTTTAGTTTAATTTGTATCGCTTGGTTCAGTACTGCGCCCGCAACCCTCGCTACACTGGTGGCCGATCTATTGCGGCCCTTTTTTGCTTTTGGTGACCGCTTGAGTAGCAACAAGTCGAGTGGACTGGACGCGCATTGTGTAGTCGTAGTCGTACCGGCAGCGACATAACCCGCCATCTTGTCGTTGATCCCGCTTTATGATTCCCGCTATTCTTATAACCCCGCTATTGTAGTACCCGCTATTATTATAACCCCGCTATTGTTGTACCCGCTATTGTACCCGCTATTGTACCCGCTACCGCTATAACCCGCGTCAGGGCATAACCCTATTCCGCGCACCCCCATGCCGAGTGCTTCCTCCAGAAGCACCCCAGCCATCGCCTCCAGGCCAAGATCACTCCGAACGCACAGCTCGGAAAGTCCAACTCATCTCACTCTGGTAAGCTACATATACAATGTAGTTATAATTAAGAACTAAAAAGTATTTTAAGGGAAATTTAATTTTTAAGATAATACGAAATTAAACAGAACGATATCCTTCCATTTTTAAGTTGTTGTATTCCCAGATGAATTAATCTTTTACTTCTTGAATACATTTTTCACAATTACAACTCAACGAAAAACTTCACGGCGAATACGAATACTCTGTAAATGCCGTGAATGCAGTGTTGCCAGTTTTCGGGTGCCAGTTTGATACAAGTACATCGTGGTGCCAGTTTTTGGTGCTATTATATCTGGATATAAATCTGTATATGCAAGGGCGCCCTCTGGTGAGTACACCTTCCAACTAGTGGAATATAAGCGGAAATATATATTGTAAAAGTGGCACCAATACGAAATTTCGTAGTTTTTCATTTCGATGTCAGATGACGCTAATGAGCCGACTCCCATTTAAAAACAAACTGGCACCCAAAGTCGGGTGCCACTTTGTAAAATCGGGTGCTACTATTGCAACGAACATACGTTTTGGGTGCTACAATTACAAAAAACATGTATATATATATATATATATATATATATATATGTTAATGATAACTTTCGACCTCAAATTCTCTCACGTATATATACTTTTGGGCTCAAATTGGAAGTTTCGGCCTCGCCGTAGCTTTTGAGGCCGAAGTGACTCACACATTCAACGTAACATTTGGACTCACGCACATCCAGTGACATCTTTTAACAGTAATTTTAACAATTTTGGTTTGAGAAAAGATTGTTAAGTATAAAAGTTGGTTGCATAGATGATTTACTTAACAAAGCTAATATTATGACTAGGTTTTATATAAATACGGGAAGTTGTTTGAAGGTAGTAATTTCCAGAAGAATGTTGGAAATTTATCTAAAATTAAAGAAAATATAAAGCAACTGAAAACAATTGGACAGTAGAAGAGCCAAAAATTCAGAAAGAAGTTAGAGAGTAAGAAAGAAAAAAAAAGATACACAACAGCTATAGAATGTAAGAAACGGAAAGTTGAGGACATGGAATGAAGACAGGGAAATTTGGATGAAAAATTTTACAAAGAGAGTTGGAATTAACTGAGCAAGGAAGCATAAAGAGAAGGGGTGGTAATTATAAAAAAAAATAGAGAGGGAATGGAAAAGAAAAGCGGGGAGGACAAATGGGATTTAAAATTGCTTGTTTGAAATATTGCATTATTAAGAAAAATAAACAGAATTTATTTAATGAGTCCATAAAATTTTGATTTTGTGTGATTAACAGAAACATGGATACTAAAGAGTAAGGGGAATAAATTGAACAAGGAAAAAGGAAAAGTTGAGGGTGAAGCAAGTGGGGGATCCATAACAGGGGTGACAAAAGATATAAAACAAATCGAAGAGCGGGTAATAGAAGTGGAACGCATAGTGGAAAGAAAGATAAAAGAAAAAAAGAATTTGCATATTGTATTGCATTGGAATTAAAAAAAATTTGAAGAAAAAAATTTAAGAAAAAATTGAAGAGTCTAACGAAGAATTTCTTCTGATAGGAGATGGTTTTAACGCCAAAATAGGCAACAAAAGCAGGGAATATAGCGGAGAACGCACAGAAAAATCTAAAGATAAAATTTTAAATAAAGACAGAAAATTTCTATGGAAATTAATTGAAGAAAGAGTTTGGTAGTCTTGAATGGGGTGAAGGAGGGGGATGAAGATAAAGAATTTACCTGTATATGTAACCCAGTAGCTGATGAAGAAGCCGAAACATTTAAATTAGGAGAAAGAATTGATTCCGACCACATGCTATAAGAAGTAAAATTGAGGGATAGAAGTAGAAAAGTCGGAGTCACAAATAAGGAAGTAGATAAAAAGGAGAAGGGAACTGAGCATTATAAAAGATGTTGGAAATTGAATTCAAAAGAAGTAAGCTAAAATAAAATAGAAGAATTAAAAACAACAACTGAAAAAGCAGCAATAAGAAAAGGATTTATAACGAAGAAATCAGAAAAGAGAAACAAATGGCGGGTTAATAGATGCAGAGATTTAAAAACATAAGAAAGAAAATGTTTACGAAGGTGTAAAAACGGAAAGATAAAAAAGAAGAGTACTGTCCAGCAAGAAATAATAACAGGTCGGTGTGAAGAAAAAAAAGAAGAGATTCCGAAAGAAGAAATAAAATAAAAGCCATAAAATCAGAGCAAGAACCAAAATAAGGAAAAACAAAAACATGATCAGTGAAGAAATGCTAATAATACAATGGAAGTACCATTTCATGAAACTAATGAGTGGAAATGAGAGTATTGTAGCGCAAAAGAGTTAAACCGAGAATGCTGAGAGAGAAAGAATGGCCGAACATTACAGTGGAAAAAATATGGAAACAAGTTGGAGGGTCGAAAAGAGGGAAAAGACCAGGGAGGAATGGATTGGTAAATGATGTATGGACGTTTAGAACGGATGATTTGATTGAAAGACTGTGTGAAATAATGAATGAGATGTGGAAAAGTAAAGGTCTCCTCGAAAGTGGCGACAAGGACAAATACGTCCAATGGCGAGTATAAAGGAACCTAGGTACAATGGGGGTTAAATACTCGTCTAAAGATAATATCAGAAACAACGCCAAGGTACCTAGAGAGAGAAAGAACGAAGGAGAAAAAGTAATTGCTAGACAGAGGGGTGGACATGAAGAAAGAAACAATAACTTTTGCTTAAGCGAAAGCAGAAGAATATATAGGATGTGTGGAGAAGTGCAAGAGACTTTAGAATACATGCTACAAGACTAGGGCGAAATTAAAGAAAAAACGAAAGTATAACAGAAATATTGAATGAAGATGGAAGAGAAGCTGGGTGGATGAAAGGAGTGGAAAAGAGCGGAGTAAGGCTGGAGCAAAGGGGATGCGATAAAGGAAGTAAATTGCAAAATCCTTGATTGTTGACCATTATTATTGCTATACCGCACCAAAATAGTATAAATAAAAATAAATAATTGGCAGAGTGGTGAACTATCTAGCCTAAAATTATTTTCATCTTTTGTACAATTCGGCCTCACAGAATCGTAGAAAACAACTTTCAAACTTACAACCCAAGCTAAAATTAACTTAATAGCAGTTATTTTAATAACAAATAAGAGAAATAAACCTACAAGAAAAAGTCATAATTGTGTTATTAATTATGAAGTAACTATTAAAAAAATCTAAAGATTGTGATGCCAAAAGTTACTTTAAATCAAATAATGGCTTTCATCCATAGAAACTTTTGGCCTCATAATTACATGACGAATAACTTTCGGACTCATGTGCTAACATACATTAAAGCACAAGGTACATGAATAAATCTAAAATCGAAAACCCAAAATTTGGTCAAATCGAGGCAATAAAATTCATGTGAATCAATATTCGGTGCTATATATTCAGGCACACCCCCAAGTGTAAAGATTCAGATTTTTTCCATAAAACGAAACATTTTCTATAAGGTTAAGACAAAATTACGACTGTGAATGGTAGAAGTATCTGTAAACGCATTCATAAAAATATTTTTTATTCAAAGTTAAAGTGATAATTTAATTTTTTTAAATACTTGCTACTTAGCCAAATATAAAGGAAGATAGGTCCAAAGTTGCTATAAATGAGCTAATTATTTTGATATGTTTGTTTCCATATTAGCGTGGGTATAAATTTGGGTTAGGTAGTTCTGCAATCAACCAATTATTTATTTTTACTTATACTATTTTGGTGATACCAGTTTCAGGGTTCATCCCCTTTCTCAGCCACCTCGTCAGTAAACCTATGACACTTTAAAAAAGTCAATATTTGGTTAGATTTTTAGACTTATTAGTGTTAATATTATCTGGAAATTGATGTGCCGTTTTTTGATCCTAAAATACTTGATTTTTGACCATTATTCTTGCTATACCACACGAAAATAGTATAAATAAAAATAAATAATTGGCTGAATGTTGAACTATCTAACCTAAAATTATTTTCATCTTTTGTAGACTTTGGCCTCACAGAATCGTAGAAAACAACTTTCAAACTTACAACCCAAGCTAAAATTAACTTAATAGCAATTATTTTAATAACAAATAAGAGAAATAAACCTACAAGAAAAAGTCATAATTGTGTTATTAATTATGAAGTAACTATTAAAAAAATCTAAAGATTGTGATGCCAAAAGTTACTTTAAATCAAATAATGGCTTTCATCCATAGAAACTTTTGGCCTCATAATTACATGACGAATAACTTTCGGACTCATGTGCTAACATACATTAAAGTACAAGGTACATGAATAAATCTAAAATCGAAAACCCAAAATTTGGTCAAATCGAGGCAATAAAATTCATGTGAATCAATATTCGGTGCTATATATTCAGGCACACCCCCAAGTGTAAAGATTCAGATTTTTTCCATAAAACGAAACATTTTCTATAAGGTTAAGACAAAATTACGACTGTGAATGGTAGAAGTATCTGTAAACGCATTCATAAAAATATTTTTTATTCAAAGTTAAAGTGATAATTTAATTTTTTTAAATACTTGCTACTTAGCCAAATATAAAGGAAGATAGGTCCAAAGTTGCTATAAATGAGCTAATTATTTTGATATGTTTGTTTCCATATTAGCGTGGGTATAAATTTGGGTTAGGTAGTTCTGCAATCAACCAATTATTTATTTTTACTTATACTATTTTGGTGATACCAGTTTCAGGGTTCATCCCCTTTCTCAGCCACCTCGTCAGTAAA